AATCAACTAAAAAGAAATGGTGAGAAGTTAGAAGATGTGGCTATCATGGAAAAGATTCTTCGATCGTTAGATTCAAAATTTGATAGTATCACAACCATTATCGAAGAGACGAAAGACTTACAAGCCATGACGATCGAGCAACTTCTTGGTTCATTGCAAGCCCATGAAGAGAAGAAGAGGATGAATGAAGAGATTGTCGAACAACTTCTCAAGACGAATCTCCAACCAACTCAAAAAGATGAAAGCTTCAACAACATTAGAAGCTACAATAGAGGACGAGGACAAGGAGGACAAGGTCATGCTAGCAAGCATGCTAGCAAGCAAGGATGGAGTACCAAAAATAACTATGAGAAAGGAGATAGATCTACAAGAGGACGTGGTCAAGGGCACTCAAATTCGAGGTATGTAAATCTCAAATTAAGTGCTATAATTGTAACAAGTTCGGGCATTATGCGAAAGAATGTAGAGCACCGAAGTACAAAGTTAATGAAAGAGTCAACTACATTGAAGAAAAAAAAAAAGAAGATGACACTCTACTTCTAGCATACAAGGATAATGAAAAAGGTGAAGATAGTACATGGTACCTGGACACCGGTGCAAGCAACCATATGTGTGTGAAACAAAGCATGTTCGTAGGGCTTGATGAATCAGTAAGCGGCAATGTGTCTTTTGGAGATGAGTCCAAGATAGAGGTGAAAGGCAAATGTAACATTCTCATCCATCAGAGAAATGGGAAGCATCAATTTATTTCTATTTCAATTTATTTCTAACCTTTGTGTTGTGCCGAATATGAAAAGCAACATCTTGAGTTTAGGGCAACTCTTGGAGAAAGGATATGATATTCACTTGAAAGAAAATACTCTCTTCTTAAAAGACTATTGGTAACTTAATTGCTAAGGTTCCAATGTCTAAAAATAGAATGTTCTCACTCAACATTCAAAACGATATTGCCAAATGTCTGAAGACCTGTTATAAAGATGCTGCTTGGCTCTGACATCTTCGATTTGGGCATCTCAACTTCGGAGGACTCGATTTGCTTTCAAAGAAAGAGATGGTGAGAGGATTACCTTGCATCAACCACCCTGATCAATTATGTGGATGTTTACTCGGAAAGCACTTTAGGAAAAGCTTTCTAAGGGAGTCAAGTTCAAGAGCCCAAAAGCCTCTTGAGCTCATACATACATATGTTTGTGGTCCAATAAAACCAAACTCACTCGGTAAGAACAACTATTTTCTTCTCTTCAAAGATGATTTTTCACGAAAAACATGGGTGTATTTCTTAAAACAAAAATCAGAGGTTTTTGGAATATTCAAGAAGTTTAAAGCAGATGTAGAGAAAGAAAGTGGTCTCAAGATCAAAGCTATGCGATCTGATCGAGGAGGAGAATTCACTTCAAAAGAATTTCAAGAATTTTGTGAAGCCAACGGAATACGTCGACTTCTAACTGTTCCAAGATTCCCCCAACAAAATGGAGTAGCAGAAAGGAAGAATAGAACCATCCTCAACATGATAAGGAGCATGTTAAAAAGCAAGAAATTGTCGAAGGGTTTTGGGCAGAAGCGGTTGCATGTGCTGTTTATTTTGGTAAATAATATCCAAAAACAAAAGGGGGAAAGACACCACAAGAAGCATGGAGTGGAAGGAAGTCTGACATCTCTCATCTACGAGTTTTTGGATGCATAACTCATGTACACATACCCGACGAGAAAAGAAGTAAGCTGGATGACAAGAGCGAGAAGTTCATTTTCATTGGTTACGACAGCAACTCGAAAGGCTACAAGTTATACAATCCAAATACAGGGAAAACAATCATCAGTAGAGATGTCATATTAGATGAAGGCGAAGAATGGGACTTGGGACTACATGCTGAGGACTACAACTTTTTCCTATACTTTCAAGAAGAAGAAGTAGAGCAGCCAAGGATCGAGGAAAGAAAGAGAAGAGCCCACTACTCCACAAACAACAAGTAATCAAAGCAACTCATCGTCATCAACTTCACAAGAAAATTCAAGTGAAAGAGTACCACGCCTCAGAAGATTAGAAGATCTTTATGAGGTAACTATGAATCAAGATAATCTTACTCTTTTTTGTCTCTTTGCCGACTGTGAACCAATGGACTTCCAAGAAGCCATACAAAGCAAGAAGTGGAAAGATGGAATGGATGAAGAAATTAAGGCGATCGAGAAGAACGATACATGGGAGCTGGCTTCACTTCCTAAAGGGTATAAGGCAATTGATGTTAAGTGGGTGTACAAAGCGAAGAAGAATTCCAAAGGAGAAGTTGAAAGATATAAGGCAAGATTGGTGGCAAAAGGCTACAGTCAAAGAGCAGGCATCGACTATGATGAGGTATTTGCCCCTGTTGCTCGATTGGAAACTATTAGACTAATCATCTCTTTGGCAGCTCAAAATAAGTGGAGAATACATCAGATGGATGTAAAATCTGTCTTCTTGAATGGAATACTTGAAGAAAAAGTCTACATTAAGCAGCCACCTAGATATGAAATCAAAGGGCAAGAAGACAAGGTTCTAAAGCTAAAAAAAGCTCTATACGGGCTAAAGCAAGCACCAAGGACGTGGAATAGCCGAATCGACAAGTATCTGCAAGAGAAAGGCTTCATGAAGTGTCCTTATGAGCATGCTCTTTACATCAAGAATGAGGATGAAAATGTCTTGATTGTTTGTTTATATGTTGATGACTTGATCTTCACAGAAAACAATCCAAGCATGTTTGAAAAGTTTAAAGAAGCGATGACAAAGGAGTTCGAAATGACAGATATTGGGCTCATGGCATTCTACCTTGGCATTGAAGTCAAGCAAATGGAAGATGGGATCTTCATCTCACAAGAAGGTTATGCAAGGGAGATATTGAAGAAA